CATAAAAATTTCTTTGGAAAAGTCATATAGCAAGACCTCGGGTCTTGTCAGTTTAAACTGTAACAGTGAGAAATTATTCTTTTCCCTCAAATTTGCCAAAGAAGCTGGATTGTGGCCTTTGTCGTATGAGCAGTTGCCACATTTTGTACGGAAACAGATTGATGCATTTAAGAATTCGTTAAGGAGAACGCCTGAAAGATTCAAACCTATCGAAACCGCCTTCGAGTTAATGCGTATGGATCTTCTTTGCTCAAATACTCCTTCGTTCCTCACCGAACATGGCATGTCAATTCGTGGAATGTCACTTACTGAAGCTTTACTTTCAAAACTTGGAGAATCTCTCACAGCATAATGGCGACGATATGTTCGTTGACATTAAATTATTGATCCATGGTTTTTGTAGTGTAGCGTTGCAGCTCAGAGCAGACACCAAGTTCGTTGTTAGGGCGCAGCTTCTTCCAGTCAAACAGTTGTGGCTTAAGAATATCTCTTTAGTCGGATCGTTATCCACGAAATAAGACGATTATAGAAGTAAGAAAATTTGACCTTTTGCTGTAGACGAGCGAGACAAAGGTGAGGCGAGGTGAACAGCCTCACAGGCGTGTCATGATTTTCGCGTCGCAGCGAAACTGTCTCTTGTCCCTATCTGGGTTGCCCTGTTTTCAGCTGCTCGTGACCACTGTCTTATAGAGACAGCGTTCTTTATCTTGTCATATCAAAAACCCAAGGTCTGTCTTCACTTAGTGACAATCTTTGTCAGAATCGTTTGACATGGTTCTTGTGAGGTCCACTTCGTGTAGCTGATAATCAAGGCAATAACTGTCGAAACAAATTCGGTATTGTCCCTCAGATTTTTTCATTTAACAAGATATCGGCTGACACTGATATCTCTAGAGTAGAGCAATTTTATTTTTTGTGTTCGTTTTTAGTGGCTTTTAGGGCACATTGTAAGTTGTTATTAGCTAAAGTTGATTTATTTTGGAAAGATATTAGCATAATCTAGAGCTTATCCTGGGAGCAAATGGCCTGAATATGGATAGAAAGAGCGTAAGACAACAACCTTTTCTAAATCGGTATAGTTTTCCTAAAAGGTACAGCACAAAGATCAATTACGACTGAGTAGTGAATTTGATCCTAATTGGGGACTCCATATATTACGCGTTGTACTACGCCTAAGCTACGCTTAATAAATTGCTCTTCTATGTGGTGTAATGGTTAGCGCGCTTGTCTCGCTAGATCAATTACGATTGAGCATTGAGTTCGATCCTCACTGGGTGCCCCATACTTGTGGCCTTGCACCACATCTAAGCCACACTTAGTCAATCTTTTTGGGTACTTTTATGCGCTGTAATGGGAACGAACTTGTCTTGCTAGATCAGTTAGGAGTAGTGACTTTGATCTTCAGTGGGTGCCCCATACATGCAGCCTTGTGCCACATCTAAGCTATGCTTATTCAAACACTTTCAGAATTTCCATGTGGTGTAATGGTTAGCTAGCTTGTCTCGATCCTCACTGCTACTACATAAATTCTAAGCTACACTTAGTAAATCATTACACTTATCGAACACTTATATGATGTGTTTTAATTGTTAGCGCGATTGTCTCGCTTAATCTGTTACAACAGAGTCTAAGTTCTTTTTTATTTACTCGCTTTCTACAGCTTTATCAACGCTTTTCAGGTTATTTAAAGCCAGAAAACATTTTTAGATTTTTTTTTTAAGCGTTTCACCCCAAGCAAGGAGGTAAGCTACAGCGGGTTACAGAGAGTTGGAGCGAGAGCAAAAAGGAGTGATAGAGGAAAGGATGAAGAGAAGGTTAGGGGATAGATCAGGGCATCTGGAGACGTCGATTAACATTGCATTTGAATAGTTGGAGATTATAGCTATCAGGGAAACAGGAAGGGGAGAGGGAGTTCCACAGGCGAGAGGTGCGAGCGAGACATGAAGCTATTGGTGTAGAAGAGACAGCTACATTTAACAGTTAAATATTGTAATATTTTGGGGAGATACTTTAGTGATACAAGTATTGCTAATTAATCTATAGCTTGAATGGACGGAGAATGAGTGGATTTTTTTTTTATCTTTCTCAAGGGTATTTACGCAAAAGTAAATAAAATGAGCACAACGGGGATTAGAACTCGGCTCTCCGATTAACAATTACGAGTTGTTATCGATTACACCAACCGCGCATTCAAGCTTACTGCAACTGATATTCCAAAACAGCCACCTCTCGAAGTACTGATCAGACTCGATGTTGCTTAACTTCGGTGATCGTACAAGAACCAGTGTTTCTATGCGATGTGAGCGTAAATCTAGTAGTAAATTCGACTCTCTCCGGCTGCACCATATTTGCGGCTTAGAGCCACGTCTAAGCTACGCTTAGTAAGTCGGTATTTTACAATTCCATCGGAAAATCAAATAGAATTGGAATCAGATAATTTGATTCTGTTTGCAACCAAACAATTACATTTTTGGACGGTGAATCAGTGTGTGGGAATAACTTGGCCAGAAAACGATGCCTCATGCTGCTTAACCTTTACTAATCCTCTTGGACAAACACCGGAGGTCAATTTCGGAATAAGGGAGATATTTTTCAATCATGTGAAAGAAATTTAAAAGCTAAAACCTCGTTTTTTTTTTTGTTTTTTTTTTTCAGAATTGTTTGCAAAACACAGTGCAACCAAGAAAAACATATTCAAACTAAATTCTATTTTTTTTTTTGTTTTTTTGTTTTCGTATGTGAAGTTATTTCCCCGGCAATGCCGTGTATCCCTTAAGTACTTAAGTACTTTGTGTTGGCAATACTTTTGTTGACAATTTACTTTATAAAGATCTACCGACTAACATTTTTGCATAATTCCTGACAGTGTATCCCTGATATATATATATATATATATATGTATATGGTATAACGATATATTAGGTTGGTGCAAAAATAATGACGTAATAATGTCGTTTTTGGACGTATTTTTTAACGTCAAAAAACGACATCATTACGTCATTATTTTTACACCAACCTAATATAATTTTGTATCATTTTATTTATGAACAAATGGTATTTAGAAAAATAGTATGAAAAATACTTTTTCAATTTTATACTCTCTCTCTCTATCTATCTATCTATCTATCTCTCTCTCTCTCTCTCTCTCTATATATATATATATATATATATATATATATATATATATATATATCATGTAAGCAAAAGTTTCTCACCTAGCTGACTGATGTTACCTTTAGCATCTCGACTCCAGAGTTCCATAGGCAGATCTGTCCATCCATTTTCAGGGGGGTATCAGTAATTTATCCCTTTATATTTCGATATTTTCTTTTTTATTATACACCCGTCATTGGTGTAAGTATTTTCCGTATGGTTTGTGTTCGTGTGTCCGATTGTGCTGATATGCGTTCACGCGCGTGCTCCCGTCTGTGCGGGTGTAAGTACGTGTAGGGCGTCGTGATCATTTGTTCTTTTTTTCGTTATTTTTTATCATTATTTTCCACTTTTTTCCCCACTTTTCCTCTTTTCTTTCGATAGTCGCTATATGTGGTCAGTTATATTCTCTAGACATGCTACCGTGTTTAATTTTTGACTGTTCTAGTATTTTTATTTTTTATTTATTTATTATTTTTGGGGGGTGGGGGGTTCTAGGGAAGTTTTTTGAATCGTGACTGTTGCTATGGTAACGGAACTAAACTACGCAAAGTAAAACCGCTTGGCACAGATTGACCTTGAACTCTGTTACGCATACGGACTAAGTTATAACTTTATTTCTCATTTCCTTTGTTTATAGCTTGGAAAAATGTGCGTAGAGTGTGGTCGCCTCGCAACAGTTTTTGGCCAAGAACAACATTCCTCAGTTCAAACAAGCTCCATTTTCCACAGATCTCGCCCCTTGTGACTTTTAACTCTTCAAAAATCTAATCCATTTGAAAGGAACACGATTTCAAGATGTCAAGGCAATCCACAAGAATGCGACTCGGTATCTCCAAAAAGGAGTCCAATGACTCCTTCCAGCAATAGAAACGACGCTGGATAACGTGTGCTGATTCAGAAAAAGTGACTAATTCGAAGGAGATTAATTGTCGAATTGATTTGTGTTGTAGTCTTCAATACAGTCACGGTGGAGTAATGGATAGCAGCTCGGATTGAGGAACCAGAGAGCCATGTTTGAATTCCAGTCGAATCCATGACATTCACTTACGTGATAATACACTTGGGAAAGGTATGGATCCTCTTCTTCCCCACAGCTATGGATAAATAGGAGGACAGACCGGGTTCTATAGCCTTGGATGGAAGCTGGTCTACCGCAGAACGAAATGGCAACCTACTGCGGGAAAAAAATCTGCCTCGTCAGTCATGTATCGAAAGATACATGATCGCCTAAGCGTGTATCACGCATGGTACATAACTGACTGAGTCCCAATACTTTTTTTTATTATACCTCGTGTATATATATATATATATATAAATATATATATATAATTATTATTTATTAAAAAAAAATTATAACATAAATATATTTATAAAATCACTACAAAAATAGCCATTTTGTTTCAACACTCTCAGTGTCTTATCAAGTGATGATGTTGAATGTAAATAAAAGATTTATTTTACATTCAACACATCACTTGATAAGACACTGAGAGTGTTGAAACAAAATGGCTATTTTTGTAGTGATTTTATAACATACTTATGTTATAATTTTTTAGAAATAATAATTATATCTGCTCTACTTTGTATTGAGCACTATTTTAAGAATAGTATTTGTTGGTTATTGGAATTCATTCCATATACACCAATCATATACTTGGTATATATATATATATATATATATATATATATATATATATATATATATATATATATATATATATATATATATATATAACTTAAATTAGTATCTAGTACTGACAAAGGTTGCAAGAGCAAACAAAAAAATTTTGTGATTCTTTAAAAAAATATATGCAAAAAATAGTTGTCTTCCAATACACATGTAAGGCTGAAACACTGGTTCCTGTATGATCACTGAAGTTAAGCAACGTCGATCCTGGTCAGTACCTAGATGGGTGACCGCTTGGGAATTCTAGGTAATATAAGCTTGGATGTGTGGATAGTGCAATGGATTATGGTTCTGAATTTTTAATCGGAGAGTCGAATTTCAATTTCAGCTAGATTTGTTATATTCGCTTCCGCGCAAATACCCCTTCTCTCTCTCTCTATCAATCCACCTATTATCCCCTTAGATATGTGTGACTTGTATCGCGAAAAAATTATCTAATAAAAAACCCAAAAAAACATTCTTACCATTTAAAAAAATACTTTTTGGATTTAAATAACTTTCAAAGTGTTGATAAGCCGTAGAAATCGAATCAATCAATAAAAAGACAATATATATATATTTTTTTCTGTTTATCCATTATTTTTATAGATAAAAATATTTAAGCAAATGGTCTGGTTATAACAAACAGTATTAACAACATTTACCGGCCTGAATGCCTGGGAAATTCCCTCTTCAAGAATTTTCTCCAGTCTGCCTTTTTCAGCATAAGTACGCGTTTATATAGATAAACCTGGCTGATAATAACTGACCCTCAGCCCTACTATTTTGCACGCAATTATCACGGGGTTCTGGCTGCTTCAACCAAAATCATGTGAATTCCAAAGTTTCTTCTAGCTTACTCAGCTCTATTTCAATTTTTAATCGATAAAAATTATTTTAACCATTTCCCTCGTCTACTGATGATCCAGATTCAATGGGTACAACTTCTGCCCTCGATCAAATTTCCCTATTAGTAAACAAAATCCTCTGATTTAATTTCGTTATTCAAATCTACTCCAATTTCATTAATATATATATATATATATATATATATATATATATATATATATATATATACGTGTGTGTTTCCCAGACTTTCCCTCTCTGTCACAATCTTAACGTAAACAAATGAGATCATATATTATGAAATGAACGAAGTCCGGAAATTATTTTAATATATTTTCTGTTTATACGTTATTTTTCTTTATAGATACAAGTAAATGCTCAGTTTTTATAATAAACAATATTAACAACATTTACCGGCCAGAATGTACTAAAACTTTCATAGAAAATGTGTCCTCCGATACATAATTGTCGGACTTTTCCATTTCATATATATATATATATATATATATATATATATATATATATATATTGGAAAAAATTATTTTCCAAAATTTTGCAACTACCAGCGTCTCTCGTTCATGCACATGTGCAGTCATAACAACGTCAACAAACCCAGTCCGATGAAGTCCTAACGGATGAAACGCATCAAAAAATCTTTCCGAATGTGCCGTACATCTTTTCTTGAAAAATTGTTCTTGATATATAAAAAATTATATATCGTTACCCCATATATATATATATATATATATATATATATATATATATATATATATATATATATATATTAATAAATACACATATAACTACGTTTGATGTGCGACTCGATTACCTAATTCTCGTGCCCGATGATTTGGGTGATCAACGAAACTCGAGTCGCACATCAAACGTAGGTATATGTGTATTCATTAATATATATTTTTAGGTCTGTCTAATCCCATTGAGCACTCATTATGTCTACTCCTCTTGGCTAAATTTGGTAATTATTTATTTGCTTACGAGCGTATGCATGCCAGCACACGCGTATACGGTCACTAATATCTAGTTATCTAATTTACCTAACCATATATATATATATATATATATATATATATATATATATATATATATATATATATATAAAAGGCGGGATCTCTGTGTGTGTCTGTGTGTGTGTGTGTATAACGAATGCACGGCCGCAATTTTCGACGGATTTGCACCAAAATTTAAATCTGCAGGGCACTTTACTCCAATTGGCTCATTCGCTTGCTTAAACTCAACGTTGATTCTGATTCCGCAGAATTGGGTTGGGTGTGAAAAGTATTTGTTGTTAACATTCTTTTTTTCATTCGGTTACGAGTCCTTTTTAAAAGCTGATCGTTTTGTGTTCATTTTGTTTAGTTCTTTTTTTTCGTAACAGTTTTAATGTTTAGTATAGAGCTTAGAAAAATTCGCAGTGTGAGATAGGCAAGAAGTAAGGCATGTAGCAACATCAGCACGGCAAAGGGCACTCCTTTAAAGGCAAGGAAGGGCAAAAATATTTTAAGTCAAGTGATAGCGATTGCTGTATGAGTCGTACGATTTTTGAATCAATCACGGGCAACGCTGGGTCATGCTGCTAGTATATATATATATATATATATATATATATATATATATATATATATATATTATAAGACAAATATTTGTGCATATTTATTTAGTTAGTTGACGTGTAGATCACAATAAAGATTTAAGTGTTCTTGCACAAAGAATTTCAAATTTTTCCGGTTGTCCCTGCCATCTTTGTCAGTGCTTGCTAACGATTTGTATATTTTTTAATTTTTTTTACGTCGGAAATGAAACGAGATACATTTATATTTTTTATATTGTATTTCTTGTTTATTTTCATTTTTCTAATTTTCTAATTGTTTCGTTTGTCATCCATTTTAACTTATATCTGATTGCAATAATTTTCATTAACGACATATCTCATTTCATTTCCAGCGTAATTAATTTGAGAACTAAAATTCAGGATCAACCTGAAAAATAGTCCTGAAGTAATCTGAAAACTTTGTGATTCTTTCAAAAATTTTTATTGTGCTCTTACATGCCATCTAAATAAAAATATATATATATATATATAAATATATGTGAAAAGTGTGTGTATATAAATACAAAAATATATATATATATATATATATATATATATATATATATATATATATATATATAATTATTTAAATATAAAAGTGAACATAGAAGTCAACACTTAGAAGCGACAGTCTGTTTCATGCTATATGCAATCGTCAAAATAGACTACCCACAATGCACCACTGACCCGTATATATATATAAATAGCCGAGAAAAAAACAGTACACGTGACCTGACGATTGCATATAGCATGAAACAGACTGTCCCCTCTAAGTGTTGACTTCTATGTTCACTTTTAAATTTACACACGCTCTATCTCTGATATTGAGCACTTTATCCCATAAATATAGCTCATCTTAAAAATATATTTCTTCATATATAATTATATATTATATGCGCGGTACTTATTAGAAAGCGCTCAATATCAGAGATAGAGCTAACATGGTTGGATAGATGTGAGTTTGTGACCCTGGGTTTCACGCTTTTGTAATCGTCAGACAAACTGATTAATTTTTTTAAAATTTGGGTTTATGTAGATTGCATGTATTAGTGTTATTATGGGAGTGGGGTGGGGGGAATCGTCGTCGTGATGTCATCGTGCTAACGCAAACATAGATGCATGTCCGTACATCAGATGATGTACGCAGACACACATACACACTTGCTTGTCCGCCGGATGTGGACAGTTTGGGATTTGACATATGTATATATATGGGTGGTGTTGTGTCTATACATACACATTTGTATGTTGAAATTCAAAGATTGGAAGTGTAGCGATGACATCACGACGACGATTCCCTCCACTCCCATAATAACACCAATACACGCAATCTACATAAACCCAAATTTTTAAAAAATTAATCAGTTTGTCTGACGATCGCAAAAGCGTAAAACCCAGGGTCACAAACTCACATCAATCCAACCAAATATATATATAAATATATATATATATATAAATAAAAAATATATACACGATATATAAAAAAATATATAAAAAATTTTAAAAGTATGACAAGACTTGTGACTTTTCCACTTCAGAGACCTCCGAGTCCCAAAAGAATCACATGTTGTACAATACAATATTATCCCAACACTGTTTCCTGTTGAAAACAAATCTCATGCAACCAGAATAATATGTCCTCAACAACCTATCCCATAAATACATATCTCCTTCAAACACAAGAAAATATCCCTCTTCAGAAAACTGACCAACGCCGCTATTACCTGTTGACTCCCATATCAAACTGGTAACCTAATGTTTAAACCAGGTAGTCATCTATACAGATGACACTATTATTTACTCCTGATTCAATAGCAAATTCGATATCGCTGACAAAACTAACCTGGTTATTGATCTCGAAAAGGACCTCCATTCTGTTGTTAACTGGGGCAAGAAATGGCTGATGAACTTTAATGCCTCAAAAATAAAACTACTCTGTTTTACCCACCACAGAGAACCCACTCTGTCTCCCATTAGAATATATGATCCATGAGAGCACCTCTCTGCGACTGCTTGGTCTCATACTGTCCGCTTACCTGAGATGGAATAAATACATTGAATCAATAGCTTCATCTACCGCAAGGAAAGTTGGTTCTCTGTGTCGCGCCAGAAAGATTTTTCTCGCCTGAGTCCATCCTTCAAATCTATAAATTAACCATTCGCCCTTGCATGGAATACAGCTGTCATATATGGTCAGGTACCCCCGCTGTTTGTCTTAAGGTCCTCGACAAAATCCAGAGACGGATAAGCAATGTGGCTGGCCCTGATCTGGCATCTCGTTTACAGTCGCTCTCTCACAGACGTGCCGTCGTTTCCCTCGGCCTTTTCTACAAATCCTTCACGGTAACTGCTCCGATGAGCTACTTTTGCTGGTTCCCAAACTGCATGAATTTAAACGTGCTACTCTGTTGGCATTTCAGTCCCACCCTTTCACTGTCGAAACGGTTAAATGTAGCCTTCTCTTCTACTCCAATAGCTTCATGTCTCGCACTTCCCGTCTGTGGAACTCCCTTCCTCTTAGTTGTTTCCCTGATAGCTATAATCACCCAAATATTCAAATGCAATGTCAATCGACATCTCCAGATGCCTTGATTTATTCCCTGTCTTTCTCGTCATCCTTTCCTCTATCACACTTCTTTACTCTCGCTCCCACTCACTGTAACCCCTTGTGTGCTTGTAGCACTCCCGCCTTCCTTGGGGTGAAATGCTTGTAAAAAGAAAAAAAAAGAAAAAAAGGTGTCGGTAGCCTTTTGGAGAGAGCGAGCCAGAAAGCTGGGTATTGCCTCGGAGAAGAGACATCAAATGTACTTTAATA